GATTAAAACTTATATATTCTATTTAATATGGTTAATCAATGGATATTTATTTTCCAATAAATTACGTCGGGTTTTTATAATAAAATAGAACTCTTATTCTTTAATTTAAACATTTATTTTATGAAAACAAAAAACTAACGGAGAATTAGTTCTCCGTTAGTTTTTTGTGTTCAAAATTAAATGTTTAAATTAAAGAATAAGAGTTTTATTGGCAGTTTTATGGGCAGCTTATACAAAAAACTAACGGAGAATTAGTTCTTCGTTAGTTTTTTGTGTTCATAAATTAAATGTTTAAATTAAAGAATAAGAGTTTTATTGGCAGTTTTATGGGCAGCTTATACAAAGCATGTATTTGCTGCTTTTAAAGAATAAGAGTTCTATTTTATTATAAAAACCCAATGTAATTTATTGGAAAATAAATATCCATTGATTAACCATATTAAATAGTATTTAATAAATACAGATTAAAACTTATATATTATATTTAATATGGTTAATCAATGGATATTTATTTTCCAATAAATTGTATAATAAAATAGAACTCTTATTCTTTAATTTAAACATTTAATTTATGAAAACAAAAAACTAACGGAGAATTAGTTCTCCGTTAGTTTTTTGTGTTCATAAATTAAATGTTTAAATTAAAGAATAAGATTTTTATTTTATTATAAAAACCCAATGTAACTTATTTATTGCACGCCGTTTTAGCATTTATTAGATAAAAGTTTAAAGATTAAAGTTTAGCACTGAAATTATGTTTTAACAGAAATTTATAAAGTTAAATTTTTTTAAACTCAAAACAATTGATAGTCAAAAAATATTTTAAATATAAAATGCAACTGTAAAACTTTAAGTTTAAAAATATTGATTTTTAAAAGTTTTAGTTATAATATTTTATTCTACAAAATTATTGGTTTAAATTTTTAATTTTAAAGAGTCATTTAAATGATAGGTGTTAAATTTTACTACAACTAACATTAATGTAATGTTCAAATTTTTGTATTGAAAATTTATTGACTATCATTTAAATGACTCTTTACAAGAATATTCGGCGCCCATAATGAAATTTACCCGTTAATAAACAAAAATAGTATACTATCAATAGACAACAAGATACTACCTACTTTATAAAACTGTGCTTAGACCCACAATCCACACAACAAGGTCTGTTCTTTAGCAGTTCGCGCAGACTGAAAATCACAAAATACTTGCCGCCATATTGTTTGTTTACGTTTTAAGCGGGTAGATTTTGATTTGGTTTAATTTTGTGCCTTATTTGCCTTAATACAGACTTATAAACCTTGTTAGGTGTTTGAACCAGTTATTTAGTTGTTTATTTGTGTTTTGACTGTACTAGTGTACCTTTTTAAACCTCAATTGTGCAAATCTTGTGTTTATAACCAGTAAGTAAATTCTAATTTTAAAATATTAGGACGTTTTTTATAACTCTTGGTATAAAAAGTAAAAAAAGGGCAAGTAAAAACCTTAAAAAAGTTTAAATTAACTGGTAAAATACATTAATATATATTTTTAATTTTGACAGATTAGAGGTTATAATTTGTTCCATAATTTGTTTCTATAATAAACCATCGAACCTATGAACAAACAAACTATAATATAATAATAATAATATAATAACTATAATTTCCGGGAATTTCAACTACCATAACGGCCGGTATCAAACTTCTATTTCGGGGATTTTAAAATACCCGCGACAAGATGGCGGCAAGTGTTTGATGACGTAGGTGCGCACAACTGCACCGATTTTTGTTTAAATTTTTAAGCTAAAGAACAGACTAGAGATGTGTCAATCGTGAATGATTCAATCATCATAATCGAATCACTTAAGAGTGTTGAACGATCGAATCCCGTTCGCTCGCAATGATCGAATCCCTAATTTAGTAAAGCCGATATCAGTTCATATAAATGAAACGTATAATTGGTTTATTCGATCGATTGCAAAAGTACCGATTCGATACTATTAAACTAAAATTCACAGCTGATACGACAAAGCTCATTCCATTCGAATGGATTGGAACGATCGTTCCAATCACTACGACCGAATCGTTTGTTCAATGATACAATGTATCAGATGGGAGCGATCGAAGTTTGAAGTTCGATCGTTCGCCAATAGTGGCAACAGATAGGTAAGCACGCTTAGGAAAATGATTGATTGAATGAACGATTGAGAAGATTCGATCATTTCAGAAATCAATCACCGATCGATTCGATCACTAATGAATGATTGAATTACCCATCTCTAGAACAGACCTTGTTGTGTTGATTGTGCTTAGACCTATATTAACTTACGGACACTCGGTATGGTGCTCTATCGTCACCTGAGAATTATAGTGTTATATCTACATTTTCTTTTTTTTATTTAGGTTAGTCTTGTTTTAAGTCTTAAAGATGATATTGATCTATCCAATATCCAACTATAATTCTCAGGTGACGCTATGTCAAACACCAACTACATAACACTCCAAAGATTACAAAATAAGATACTTAGACACGTAACAGGCAAAGGCAGTTATACATACACACAATATGCCATATATTAAAGATTTTGTGATTGAAAAAAGTGATCTATTTTTCAAATATAAACTAAAAGTCAATTGACTTTTAGTTAACCCGCTTCTTAAAAATATAACTAATATTAGACAGCAGCAAATATCAAACATGGTTTAATTTATAGAAAGCTCCCAACATATAACGAACCATTAGCTATTAACAATAATTAAATAAATTACCAATAAAAATCACATTGTGAGATTTTTATGTTCTCATCATCTACCAAATATTTAAGCAGGTTTTTTGCCTTATTTTCCTGCAAAAACCAAATCAGATCCAATTAATTAAATAATCTCTCACGGCTGTGCATCGCACCCGATTAATTAATCTACTAACAATATCGACGCTAATCACACTGTGAAAAAGGCGGGCGTTCTCAAATTCTCTCATTTTTGCAGTAACTGATTCAGTCTCCAATATATCTATTGGTTGAGCATAAGCGACGTTGCCGGATTAAAACTTATGAAAATATTTGAAAGTATTACGTAAAGGTAACGTCTCCAGGGTACAGTCTTGCGAACAAATTATGAATCACTTAGCTACAAGCTCGTATACTTTTACGGTGCGTATAATCTAAAAATTTTTGACAATATTGTACCACGACAACTACCTTAAGTCTACGCTACATGGAATATTCTTTTTATGATGACTGGGTTTACCAAAAAGCGGACATTTGATTACGCCAGGAATATTCTGGTACCCTTGGCTTAATCCTGGGAATATTCCTGACGTGTGCAGGGAATGGGATTTTGCGGTCTTGTATACAAATGGATATTATTAATTGTAGAAAAAATAACCGATCTACAAGAAGGTCAGATATATTTATTCAGTTATACCCATCATCGTTGTCAGAGGCGGATTATCCCTAAGACAAACTAGGCACGTGCCTAGGGGCGCGAGGTTAGAAGGGGGCGCGCGACATTAGTTTTTAAACAAAGAACATAATTAACATAAAATTAAAAATAGAAATAAAGAACTTAAAACAATTTACCCAAATATTGACATAGCCTTAAGAATGCGCGTATCGACGGCAGTCAGAAATTGCAGTGGTAAGCGGAGTTTTTCCTGTCTAAAGAGAGTGAAAAATTATCTTCGCTCAATGACAGATCTTATCTATACTTAACATTGAATCAAACTTGATATCTTTAAACTATGACGATGCTATTGACCATTTCGCAAGACAAAAATGTAGACGCAGACATTTTAATTATATTTTTTTAACAATTGTCATTGAATTAGTACCAATTTAAAATTGGGATTTTTTAAATAAATAATTTATAATTTTAATTTTATTATTTATTCTATTTTATTTTATTATTTTAATGTGCTTGAAACAGGCACCAGGCCTAATTACAGGAGTACATCCTCACAAACACAAATAAATAGCCATACCCCTGGTGGGATTCGAACCCACAACCTTTCGGCTTCTCGACTACTACACCACCGAGGGCGGTCAAATATTAATAATTTCTTTTAACTTTTACATAATTAATGATAATAATATAACACACCATAATCTGTCAACACACATACACAGTCAGATCTGTTTCCCAGTGACTCATCATGGATTTCCATGTTCATTACCTATGCCCCTTTTGCCTTCTTCACTCTCATCACATTTCATTCACAACTATGGGTAAGTAGTACTTACTGGAGGTGCGCCGATGAGGTGCTTGCCTAGGGTGCTCTCGACATTTAATCCGCCTCTGATCGTTGTCAAAACTTAAAATCCTACATTAATGTTGTTTCTATTACACCCAAATAAGGTGGTACCTAATTATATCTTACTATGAAGTGGCTGATTATGGGATTTAATTTCGATTTTGACTTGTCAAAATTCACTATTTTATCAAAAAATGTATAAAAAAAAGTAAACGGCGGTATCAGGCTTTTATAAGATGTCTTTAGAACATTAAATGAAGATATCTTTAAGACGTCTATTAAAAGACGTCTTTCAGACGTCGTTTTTAGATCTTCAGACGTTCAGGCACAATACAGACATACAAAAGACATATTCAAGACTTTGTGTGCTATCTGAGATACTGGATTTTATTTATTTCTCTCGAAAACTAAGCAAATACAAAAAAAATCAGGAGACAAAAAAGTTGTAATTTTAGTTGGTTTATAGGAAAAAAATAAATAAAATTTACAAAAAAGGTCAGTTGCATACATTTTTTTGTCAAAAATATTTGTTAAGGTTTATCAAAGTTTAACACCCTGTATCTTGAAAACGAAGCATTTGCGGACCCATATATATCCGAACTTTTTGTCTTTAAATCACCCAAAGAATCGTCTGTTAAATTTATTGTAGATAATTAAGTAAAACCCTGTATAACTAAATAAGTGAAGTCTCTGGTCTGCCTATACCACAGACCACCTGCCTATAGCCAACACTCCTTTTCCAACTATCATTTGCCTCTGCTGATTACCTGTTTCCTCGTGATCCCCATGCATAATTGGTTCAAATCCAATCTGGCAGCCCATTGCCCCAAACCCTGTGTAACAAAAATTAATATAAAAACATATTCACAAGAATATTAGTACATTATAGAACATGCGTGTTTTTAAATATTTAACAGTTCTTGTTTATAAAACTTAATGTGTTTAGCATTTTTAAATGATAGGTTATTATGTAAATAAATATCCTTAAAAATCATTAATGGTATTTTGACAGCAAAATTATGTAGGTACCAGGTACCTACATAATTTTGCTGTCAAAATACCATTAATGATTTTTAAGGATATTTATTTACATAATATATAGGTACCTGGTACCTATACAATGTATAGCATACATGTTACGGCAGAGTGGATGGATGTTTTTTAAATAAAAAATATTTTTTAAGTTAATATCGAACGTTTTCACATGCGACAGGTTTGGTTCCAACAGGAAAACTTAATGGAGTGATGCGAAACATTCAAAAACGGTGGATGTAACCCAGCAAACAGAAAATCGTGAAAGACACGTGACATTTTGGTAATATTTCAACCAAAAGACGTATTTTTTTACGTATATAATACGAGTCACATTTTTATGACGTATTTTTTGGACGTAATTAAAACGTGTTAGACGTAAAAAAACGTCCCCCTTATCGTGGTTAAGACGATTCTTAAAGACATCTTTAATATGTATTTACGTCCATTTTAGACGTCTTTAAGGTACAAAATTGACGTTTTTTGGTTGTTGAATAATTTTTCTAAAATAGTGCTGTTTAACATTAAATGTTAAATTTTATAAAAAGCTTTTGCTAAAAGTAAGTAGTGGGGCCCACTGCTTACTTTTCGCAGAGTGGACCACAGGACCAGCTATGTCCCTTCAAATCTTACAAGCATGCTTGTAAGATTTGAAGGGACACAGATGGTCCTGTTCTGCAGAAGCGTATGGTCAGTAATTTTGCCTTAGTAAGATATTCTTACTTAGCAGTTTAAGGCGTTCCACCTTTATAGGACTATCTATTGTGCTACAGAGGCGAGAGGTATGCATGGGTTGCCTACATATTGGCGAATTTTGAAATATTTTGATGACGTCGCATATTCGTCTGATTCTGGTATGAAATGAAGTGGTCAGATAATGGCGAGAAATATACTTCATTTTGACGTTTTATTTTGACGTTTATTTTTACGTCTTAAACGTCGTTCGTCATTTTCTGTTTGCTGGGTACTTAGAATTCCTGTGGTACGTATACCCTATATATATATATAAGTACCTTCTTGATTTCGACTGAAACAACTGTATGGGAAGTTTTTTTATGTTTATGTAATATTTTTAACAAATATAAAAATTTTATTTTTGTTAAAACATTCGTTTTTTCAAAACGTTCATTTCACGTCAATATTCCGTTACTTTAAAACTCGTTAAATAACAACCAAAATGCGACGTGAATAATACGAGTTAGTTACAGCTCTGTTTGCTGGGAATGTATTGCAATACCTGCGTTTAGGGGGTTACCCTGAATGGAATGTAAATTTCTTGTTAATTTTTAATATTTTTGTTGTGTTGAAATGTTGTATTTTATTTATTTGTATATTTTATACACATTTAAATTAATCTTAAAATTTAAATTTTTTATGAGTATAAAATATCAAAAAAAAATAGTAGTAAAGTTTTTTTTTAACTTTTGAAGCGTAATCCTATAATAGCGAATGGGAAGTTAAAATTTCATCAAATTTAATATTTTTTTTAAGGATTTATTATTTTAATTTTTTAAGACAATTCATTTGTTAAAAGTTTTAATTTTTTATTTAAACTGTCATAAAACCTATCAACCATGTCAAGGTTAATCTTATTCAAATTGTTTATAGGTATAACAACTGTTATTAGAGGTGTATTATTTCGTTGGTAAGTTTTTTAAACCTAAATGCTCTATAACTCAACTCGCCAAATATGTAATTTTTTTTAAACTTAAGGTATGGCTTTTACGCGAAACTATAGATACGCCTGTATACAGGCGTTAGATACTTAATAAACCTGTTCATCGATATTGTACTTTATTTTATTTTATTGTATTTTTTAGGTTCCGATCCCGATGTAGAGCAATGATCCCAAATCCTTTGGGTTGTGATTTACGTGTGGGATGGCGGCAGAAGCGAAGGCAGAGGCAGAAGCGGCGGCGATGGCAGCATTGGCGGCAGTGGTATGCCTAAAACACATTTCTTGTCAAAAGCCAAAGAGTTTGCGCATTGTGCTACCCTTCGCGCTGCAGCTCTTCCACAAGGATCAGTGTAGTCCGGATCGAATCCGGGGCGAACATCTTTAGCATACTTTTTCACCTGCTACTCCACTAGTCTACATGTGCAACTAAATTTAATTTTCCTGCATCGTATGTTTGCGTCCTCCCAAAACACCACTAGTTTTATTTACGAACTAATCGCAAAGTGATAAAAGTCTTCATTCTGCGGCAAATTTAATGAATGTCTAAAAATAGACAGAGAGATGTTCTGCTTCACTTTGATCAACTCGAACAGATGATGCACAAGTTTGCGATTGAGTGGTCAAGTTTTCGTTTGCTTGACATGTGTGTTTTGATCGTGTAGTGATTAAAAAAACACCAAAAAAATCGCGAGCCACCGCTGAAATGGCAACTCCTTCAGACAGCCCCGTAGAGGATGTCGTCTTCGAGATCGAGCCGTCCAGGGTGCCGAAACCCATCCCCGTTGCTCTCGAAGACCTTTGCAGACTCACTAAATTCACCAGACAAGAGATCCGGATTATGTACAGGGGATTTAAAACGGTACGTTTAATAAAACTATTTAGTATTAATAATTAAAAACATGATATTATAAGCCTGAATTAAGTGGTCCAAAGTAATTTCAATTTTCCTTTATTTGTGACAATTTTTAATAATCATAAAATGTAGGCAATTAAAAATAAATACAACTTAATTTGGTAACTTGAAAATGTTTTTTCATAAATATTTATTTCAATTTCAAATAATGCTATTTATAAATTATAGTTGTATAATTCGGATAACTTATAATAAATACATATAAACTAGTTAAAAATGTTAAAAATAATTTTTAAAATTAACTTATTTTGCTATAACTATTACTCTTATTTAGAGAAGATCATTTTATTTTTAGTTTTTAAATTATATTAAGTTTGTTTTTCTACTCCGACCTTTAAAACGCCAATTATTGTACTTGTTTCAATGAAACTAAGTGACCTTTAAATACACATTAATAATTTGTGTCTTTATGGCGCTTTAGTCACGGGCTGAAGATAACAACAGGTTTTTAGTCACGGGCTAAAGTTAAGTTTTAAGTTAGTTGAGAGTTGTCAAATGTCATATAATTGTTAAAATAAAGTGCCTTTATTTGAAATAATACCAAATTTAAGAATTATTTTATTATCTCAATACAAAAATACAAAGGTATAAAATAGTTTTTTGACGCCAATATTTCGAAAGATTATATGAAAGTTTTTACTGACCTTTTGATTTCACCGTAGTAGTGCACTAGATTTAATTGATAAAGCGTTAAAAATTTTGCGTAGCCCATAAAACATTCTCTTCTCTTTTACTGTGAAAAACTGCATCTATATCGATTGTTAGTCTATTTTTAATGAAAACATTTTGATTTACTCAGACAAATTTGATATGTTAACGCCGGTAGATTCCCGAGTTAGAAATTCTAACGGGAATTTCAATAAATACAACTGTTACTTTTTGTACCTTTAACATTTTCCTTGTAAGAATTTTTAATACTTTGTGTTAATATTTTGCAATAATAATATTAATACAAAAAATCAAAGGATAATATATTTTCTTAACATAATCATATTTTAAAGTTATTTTAATATTTTAGAGCATCAATAATTGTAAGTTTAATTAAAATAATAACGGGCAATGTTGCCACCCTGTATAAAACTATTATATACAGTGTGACCCATTTGTTTGCTACTCACCCCTGTAAAATCTTTATTTATTGTGCGATTTTAACCGGATTTGTTTTAAAGTGTAGATCTTGATAAACTGTATTTTTAAAGCCATATTTTTACAAAATACAAGGCCTACTATGTCAGTTTTTAAGAGTAAATTTTTAAGAATTCATATTAGCGATTTTTTTAAACAAAATCTAAGCACGGCACTGGATTCACATCCCTCAAAACGACCATATACTAAATTTTATTGAAAAAGTTAAAAAATTCACAATAATAACTACAAAAATTTTTTCTGTCAAGTTATCCATTGAAATAAAATTAAACTTAGTAATAGTACCATGTTACTATTAGTTTAATTTTATTTCAATGTTTTTTTTCATGGATAAATCTAGTGATGTGCTCAGTATGAAAACAGTATTCTCCAAATCTGGTTAACAATATACTGCAATATTATAAAAGTCGGTGTACAAATGTGTACTCTGTCAAAGGTAAGATAAACAAAAATTTAAAAAAAAAATAAGAATTTTCAAAAAATTTCGAAAAGAGGAGCAGTTAGGATTTTGGTGAATATCATTTAAAAAAAAATATTTTTTAACAAATTTAAAACAAAGCAGTTGGAATTTTGGTAAATATCGTTTTTAAATCTCCAAAGAGTGCCAATCAAAAAACGTTAACCAGTTTTTCGATCAAAATTGAAACTACTAAAAAGCCTAAATTAAACAACATTTTAAATATTCTATAAGCGTTATTTTATTTAATTTTATTAAATAGCTATTTACATACCATGGGAGGAAAATATTGCATTTCCTCCCGCGAATAGTTTGATGCCCGACGCGAAGCGAAGGGCATTAAATATTCAAGGGAGGAAAGGCATTTTCCTCCTGAGGTATGTATATAGTTTTTTCTATTACCTTTTAACGGTTTTAAGACATTTTAACTATGATTTCGCGAAAGAATCGAACGATCGATTTACAACACATCTCAGATTTTTTTTTAATTTTAATATTTTGTTTATACATCCAATTTAACACTAAATCTAAAATTTTTCTTTCATCTCACTTAAACTTTAGCTCCTAGAAACCATTTAATTTTGCCTTATTTATCAAAATACTGAATGATTTGAAATTTGGCCCATGTATGACCCCTATTAGTACCTACAATTCTGTCAAAAAAAAGTTTTAATTTTTTACATACAGGTGGCGCTGCAATTTTTTTTTCTTCGAAAGTAGACGTTTTTTGAAGACAAAAATATCTCTTAAGCAACAATGCTCAAAAAAACTAAATAGCGTACCAGATAATATAGATATTCCTTTATAATTCGACATATAAAAATTTACTTGCAAATGATGTTGCCGCCCGTAAAGCCAACTTAAAGTTTGGTCTACCGCATTAAAAAAAATTGAATTACACTTTCAACTCTATCCTTATTTTTAAACTAAGGAACTCCAGGTGATGGCTTTTATTGGTAATTAAAACGCAACAAAAAAGTTTTATTTTTTTATATACAGGGGGCGCTGCAGCCTTTTTTTCAAAAATAGACGTTTATAAAGACCATAAAGTTACTTAAGCAACATTGCTTAAAAAACTAATGACATTATTTATAATGTATCAGATAATATAGATATTCTTTTATTGTTTGACATATAAAAATTTATTTGCAATAATTAATGCCTGTTGTAGGGACGATTAAAATTATAACTAGTGCACGTACCCGCATATTGTTATATAAACGCCTTTTTTCGCTTTTATTGTTGTATGCGGACAAAAGGTAACAAAACCAAAGAAATTTTAATTACAAATGGTAACAAGTATTTCAGTGACTCTATAGTAATAGTAATAGTAATATGACCATTTGTTTAAATATATTTTAGTATATTTCGAGAGGCAAAGCATTCTTTATTATCGTAATTAAACTAAAGTCAAGCCTGGGCTGGGAATCAAGTTACCCCAACAGTTGACAGTTACTGTCAAACGGTAACCATAATAACATTTAAAATTTTGCCGTTATTACAAAAGTTGAAATTGGAGAGGTAAAATATCATGCTTTTAAAGGTACGCAAAGTTAATAAATTTTCTTTAAGTAAATCAAAATTCTAGGAATTGAATTTTCTTCTGGAGTAAACATGAAAGTTCCTTGGACATCATCGAGTCGACAAAAGGAAAATCTAAATAATTTAAAAGCAATTAAATATAGGTGCGACGAATTACTTTGCAGTAGGGTTTTTGAAAATGAAGATGATCTTCTAAACCACCTTAAATTTCAAAATCATAAATTTCCTGAAATTAGACAAACTATAGGTGATGTTGCTAGAATGGAATTTTTAAAACAAACATATGTTTTAACTGCAACTAGTTCAACAATATCTACCGTCAATATATGCGCAAATGAAGAAGATAAAAATACGTTTTTTCGAGTATATGAGTCATTCCAAATAAAAACACCAAATGGGGTGCGCTGCGTGATTTTTTATTTTGATGAAAAAATTTGAGGATGATCTTTTAGGTGTCAAATATGAAAATCCGTTGCCGTTTTAATTTTTTGTTGCTTTACTTTTATTTGGCACCCCTTAGAAGTCTGAAATAGTGTCAATTCCTTACTCTCTTATAGAGGGCCAGAACTTTTTTTCTGTGATAAATATTGAAATAATTTTAATTTTGTTTTACTGTCTAGTAAGTGTGTTTTTGATATAAATTATTATTATCCAATTAGTTAATCTCATAAAAGAATGATAAACCATTAAAGATTCATGATAATTTGCCAATTTTTGTGATTTTTATCTGGCTCCTGTGCCTATTCTACTGAATTTAGAAGGTTCATTTTTTTCAGGTATAAAGTACTTATACAATAGAAAACGTAACTATTATTTTAAGTTTCTATACTATCAATTTCTTTATTAAAAAAATTATTGAAAATTGATAATTCTCAAAATTAGCCAATTTTGCCCTCAGAAATCATTATGTTGAGGAAAAAATAAAAATCTGAAACTTTCAGGAAATGTAGTCCCCACCTTCATCTTTTCAGTCCAGTTAGTCTTGTTTTGTTATTTTTATTCCTTTAAAAGATATATTAGTTTTTTTAATGCCCGTTTAGTAGCGATATTGTTAGTTTTATTTATAATTTAAAATTTAGATGGCTTTCATGTTTGGTGGAGAAGTGTCAGAACTGTCAAAAATATTTAATATATAATAAGTGAAATTAATAAAGAGTTAATTTAAACGTATAATTATTATTTATAAAAAATGCGTTAAGCAGTTTTTTGTCGGTTTCTTTTACAATTTAAACCAAGTTAGTCTTGTTCTATTATTTGATCCCTTTAGTAAGGCACTAAATAGTAAACAGTTAAATCCCAGGTAGCACACTGACGTTTGCTGACGTTTATATGACGTCTTCTGAATTATGAAAAAAAGAGAGACGGAGGGGAAGGCCCCAGGTGTTGCGGATATCGGCGACGGAAGCAACGGATGCTACTGCCGACTCCGATATCCCAGACACAACCCGCAAGCCCATGCCAACCACTCCGTCTCTCCTTCCCCCCTTGTGCTTTGTCGGCTGCTTTATTATTTATTAATTAATATTTAGTTACACTTTGTGTTAGTAGACATAGATATAGAGAAGTAGTGTAAACGCTTTACATTAGGGTGTCCGTTATTTACCAACTTGGTTTTTTTGTTCGAAGCGCCCCCTAAATTTTTAGTTTATGACCTAAAAAATTATAACAAAAAATATTTATTTTAAACCGTTAGCAACGTCATTTCAACGTCATATAAACGTCAGCAGACGTCAGTGTGCTACCTGGGATGTATGTATTTTAAATGTTAGTGTTGAAAAAAATTTACAAAATCTGTAAATAC